TGTCAGAGACAGTGCGATTGGCACAGGACAGAGCGGAGTTTAGGGCTGTTGTACAAAGGGTCGCTATGAGTCACAGGCGACTCGACGGCACATAACAAGATCAACAACAACAACATTCTTGATTCTTACCCTACAGCCATAGTGCTAATTCCAACTCATAGGAACCTTCTATTGGTTTCTTAAAGCTGTGAATCTCACTGGAGACTACCCATCTTTCTCCCATGGATGACCTGGTGGATTCAAACTACTGATGTTAGGGTTAGCAGCCTGATACATAATGCATTATGTCACGAAGAATAAAGTTAGTGATCGAAGGGGATTCTAATTGTTATCCTTATTCATTGACTCCAATTAGATAACCTTGTACAGCAGAACGGAATTAATTCTAACAGCTATGAAAAAAGAGATCTAGTTACAAAAATTACTACAATGATGACTCATAAAAAGATTTTATTACATCAATAATTATAAAAACAAAGAACGTTTGAGTATGTTTGGAAAGCTGAGATAGGTCAAAGCAAGCTAACCTAAAAGTCACAAAAATAGATTTTTTACTGATATCTCCTACTAAAACTAATTATATAGTTTTCACCTTCCAGATAACACTAGAGTAACTTGAGAGACATTAATAACCCTAGCCAAAATAATTAGAAAGACCTGAAGAAAATACAACACAATCTTTCTATTTTATACAATACCATCTCTTTTTGTCAAAGGGATACTGACAAAGCAGCAGAAAGGAAAAGATTCATGGTTGAATCACATCAAGGAAAGGAGCTGCCATTCTGTAGCCACTGTCTCCTGGGAAGGGAGGTAAGGGGCAAAATAATGTAGCTCTGAAAGACCAGGAACGGAAGTTCTGGAAGCACTGCTGGAAAGTCAAGGTGCTTAGGGAGATGAGGTAAGAAAATACTACTTAAGGTGCCAATATTCCTATGGGAGACAGTGAAATGAAACTGTTGCATCATCAATTTTCTTAAAAAAAAAAAAAAGAGAGAGACTCAATTTCTAAAGTGACTTAGAGACTCAGGAACTAAACAAAAAGTCACCAAAAGCAAATCAGTCATCAAAAGGATTTCCAAGGGATGCTTACAAGGACGAGAGTCAGGAGTCATCAGCAAATGGAGTTCTAAAGAACACCCTCTACACTCAGAATTGGAAGTCCTGGTTACTAAATGACAGGAAAAAGGATTTACCAAAACTTCAGTGAGTCTTGGATCTTCAATTCCTGAGAGGAGCACACCAGGCCTAATTTATCTGTCTAAACATGGAAATAATGACTTTTCATTGGAAAAAGAAAACTCTATTTTCCATATCCAATACCAATGTTGTTGTTGTTGTTGTTATATGCCGTTGAGTCGCTTGCGACTCAGAGCGAACCCTATGTACAACAGCTCTAAGCCCTGCTCTGTCTTGTGCCAATCGCACCGCCTCCGATACACCCATCCCAATTACCCCAGTCACTGAATCAATCCACCTCATAGGGGACCTTCCCCTTCTGCGCTGTCCCTCCACCATCCCAAGCATGATGTCCCTCTCCAAGGACCTGTCCCTCCTTGCAACATGTCCAAAGTATGTTAGACGGAGCCTTAGAATCCTTGCCTCCAAGGAGCAGCCTGGTTTGACCCTTTCCAGGATGAATCTGTTTGTTTTCCTAGCAGTCCATGGTACCCACAATACTGTTCTCCAGCACCACAGCTCAAAGGCATCAATTCTCCTTCTATCTTCTTTAGTCATTGTCCAACTCTCTGATGCATAACAAGTGACAGCAAAGACCATATAGCCTGTATCAGATGCACTTTAGTCTCCAAAGAGACACTATTACTCTTCAGTACTTTGGAGAGGTTCCTAACAGCAGACTTT